CAACATGTTTGCGTAGTGTAATGGGGCCTCTTCCGTCAGCCTTTTTCTCCCCATTTACATAGTATTTCTCCGACCGATATATTCTTGGTTCTGACGATAAACTGGTGACAGGAATTCTCACTGCGCATGCGCAGCATCGCAAGCTGCATTAGGAACTAGATTATCGCTAGATCACAATACCTGCAATACCTGTGCGTGATCGGTTACGATGTTAGCTCCAAACCCTTGGTTTCGCTGGGTGTGCTTTAGAAACGCGGCCACTTTGGCCTGCCGCGGCTCTCTAGTCCTATCGGGTTTTCTGGCACGCTTGTTACGCCGTCTACCGATTCCTTGATGGTTTGGTCGCTTCCCTTCATCTCGGCCCGGCTGGCCTTTTCTACTGATTGAATAGCCGAGTGCGTGTAGAATGTTTGTCCCCAACACTATCATGCCATCTCCTTTCATAACAAAGAAAGCAGCCCGGCATCGAGGTCCGTTGCGTAATTCCAGAGTAAGACGAATGATGCCTCTGAAATTCATCAGAGTGCCGGAAGCGTCATAGACGGGTAGATATTTCCTCTGCGGAATCTCTTCCACGTTTCCGTCTACGCCGAATCCCTTTTCCTGAGCTGTCAATAGCCTCCAGAGGCATGATAACAATCTGAGATCCAGAGTTGTTCTGTGCTTCCTTTGCAGTCCGAAAAATCACCGTTTCTAGTGTCTGACTGCCTACTAGGTCATTAGCGTTCTTCTTTGCGACTCTAGTGCATGCCCAGTGCCGTAGTACAGTAGAGAAAGACCTTGCTCCGCGTGCACCGGCAACGCTTTTGCCCTTGCCTCCCTGAGGCACCTTGGGCCGTCCGGCCGTGTGCTGAGGCCTTGGGATTCCCTTGCAGTCCCTTCTAAAAGTCCAGGCTTCTTACAGTTGTGACACAGCAACTCTCGTTTCCCTGACCCGTTCTGCTGCATGTTCTGGTTGGGGTTTTCCAGTCCTACGTGTTCTTGGCGCTCCTTTTTCACTTTTGTTTGATCCACGTGCTCGTGCCTCTGTGTCGTTTGTCGTCCCCGCTGACATCGTTTGGGCTTGTTTGTGGCCTCCTGCTTCAAGTGCAGTGCCACTTCCCTACTCCTTTCCATCCATTCAGTGAGCTGTGCAATGACCTCTCCGGTACGCAGAATGGAAAACTCCCTTTCCGACGATTCGGGGTACGCCGCCCTGGTCAGCTGTTCCAGCCGAACACAGTACTCTGAGA